TGTGTCGCTTCTGCAGCTCGGACTTCACGTGGGCAAGTCTAGCAGTGTCAGCTGCAGCGAAGACCAAGTCGTTGACGAACACGAGGACGTAGAACGGCGGCAAAGAGGTGTCGGTGCGCAGAAACATCGGCGGGTCGGCAGTAGAAGGAGCAAACCCAAGAGCCGCAAGCGTAGTCCTCAGTGTGTCGTGCCACTCACGCAGAGCCTGGCGGAGACCGTAGACTGGCCGCCGGAGGCTCCACTGGGTGCCAGGAGGAAACGTCCCAGTGAAGCCCGGTGGGCGGCGCAGCCAGATCTCCTCGTGCAGGCTGCCTTGTAGGAAAGCTGTGCTGAAGTCCAGAGAGTGAAGCTCGTAGTCACGGTGAGCGGCTATGTGTAGCAGCACCCGAAGAGTGGTCATCTTCGGGGTGGGAGAGAAGGTCTGAAAGTAGTCAACTCCCTGCCGCTGACTGAAGCCTCGAGCCACGTAACGCGCCTTAAAGACAGGCGGAGAACCCGGCGGCCGCTTCACCCTGAAAATCCACATGCCACTGACGATGTTCGCCCCAGGTGGGGGAACCTCGTCAACGTAGGTGCCTGTGGACTTCCAGGAAGCCATCTCTGCGTCCATGGCTGCCTGCCACTGAGAGGAGTAGGGACCCTCTATCGCCTCCGCGTAAGAGCGCGGAGTCGGGATGTCTAGTGCATCCGGGTCTCCCTCAGGGGCAAGCAGCATGGCCACGAGATGAGGTAAAGCAGCAGCAAGACACTGGAACTCCTCCTGCCTGTCCTCAAGGACGTCCGTGCTAAGAGCACACTCACCCCCGACGGACGAGGACTAAACTGACTCAGACTCAGCAACAAGACTAGCGGCGTAGTCTAGACGACAGGCAGCAGCAAAGTCAACAAGCTCAGCGACCAAGGCAGACGCAGCAGTAGACTCAAACGACGGGTCAGTGACAACAGTGGCTAACAGACGCGTGACAGTAGGGTGCTCAGCATGAAACCGGTCAGACTCAGGGTCCGGAACGGCAGGCAGAGAGGACGCAGGGGGAGACGGCAAAGGAACAGGCTGCGGAGCAGAGGAAGGACGACGGACAACAAGGTGTGTGCCGGGGACAGCCGGCTGACGCGAACGAGGAACACGACTACCGGTACGACCAGAACGAACAGGCGAGACAGGACGCGACGCAGGCTCACGATGCTCAGCAGGACTACCTGTCTGCTCAGTGTAAGGAGAGGGAGCAGGCAGCGGCGAGCCAGTCTGTAACGGAAGACCAGTAGACGACGGGAGAGTAACAACCTGACGAAGAGCAGAGTCAGGTGGCGGCAGAGACGACGGAGACGGCGAGCGAAAAACAGTCGTGTCGACGCAGCTGCACCAGGACCAGCAGCTCCAGCAGCTCCAGCAGCTCCAGCACCTCCAGCAGCTCCAGCGCCTCCAGCAGGTCCAGAGCCAACGTCACGAGCAGTAGCACCCCCAGAACCGGCACCTCCAGTCCCAGGGCGCAGTGTCTCCCGCAGCTACACCCCCAGAACCAGCACCTCCGGTCCCAGGGTCTCCAACCGCAGTGTCTCCCGTAGCAGCACCCCCAGAACCAGCACCTCCAGTCCCAGGGTCTCCAACCGCAGTGTCTCCCGCAGCAGCACCCCCAGAACCAGCACCTCCAGTCCCAGGGTCGCCAGTCTCAGTGTCTCCAGCAACGGCACCTCCAGGCGCAGCACCCCCAGCCCCAGCAGCTCCAGTACCTCCAGCAGCAGAGCCCCGGGCTCCAGCAGCGCGACGCTGACGGCGACCGTACCAGTCGTGCAGCTGCTGAGGGGTGAGAGGCACACGCGGACGAAGGCGACCACTCCAAGTAGGCCGCGCACCAGCAGTCCCAGTACCCTCAAGCGTCTCACCTCCAGACTCAGCACCCCCAGACTCCGCACACACACACTCAGTACCCCCAGTCACAGCACCCCCAGGCGCAGGACCCCCAGTCTCCTCACGCGCAGGCTCAGCACCCCCAGACTCCGCACCCCCAGACGCAGCACCTCCAGGAGCACCACCCCCAACAGTACGAGAGTCAACAGGAACCGGCTGCAGAGGCGGCGAAGAAGGTCGCAGAGTTTAGGGTTTAGGGCGTGGCGGTAGGCCGCCGGGCGTCAGCAGCAGCGTCACCCCCCTCAGGTGGGCCAGAGGTGTCGGAAGTGACCTTTAAAGGCTCAGCCAAGAGGGGGGGGGTCTACCTGAGACACACCTGAAGGAGCAGGACCCTGAGGGGGAAGGGGGTCTACCGGGGAGGGACCTGGCGTAAGGAAGAGCGGCGGGGGGGGAAGGGGGGCAGCGCGGTAGGGGAAGAGACGGTAGTACGGAACCGACTCGTCAAACGTGACGTCCTGGGAGGACAGAACACGGCGCGAGGTGGGGTGGTAAAACTGCCAACTAGGCGCGTCAGGGGGGAAGCCAAGGAAGACGCAGGGAACAGCACGGGAGGACATCTTGTCCGCAGACAAGTCTCGGACAAAAGCCCGAGATCCCCAGACACGAAACGCAGACGCATCGCCAACCTGCCCCGTCCACCTCAGAGTGGGGGAGGTGTCCGGCATGGAGACCCGGGGCTGAAGGTTGATCTGATGCGCCGCGTACTGAACCGCAAACGACCACAGAAAATGGGGAGCAGCCGCATGGATCATGGACGTGCGAGCGACATCCATGACCATGCCAATGCGGCGCTCAGCAATCCCATTTTGCTGTGGAGAGGCCGGAAGCGTGAACGTCTAGCGGATGCCCCTCGCACGACAGAAGGCTCGTAGAGGGCCGGAGGAGAACTCTCCGCCTCTGTCAGAGTGCAGACGCAGAACAGGAAAGTCCGAGCCAAAACTCTTCCTGAGATGGAGACGAGCAGCGCGGATCCAGTCGATCAACACCTTAGTGACCTCATCCTTGCGGCGCAAGGGGAAGACTGTGGTGTAGCGCGAGTAGTCGTCAACCACCAGCAGGAAGTAGCGCTCGTGACCCTGTCCACAGACGCGGGCTGGGCCCCACACGTCCATGTGAAGAGTCTGCAGCGGAGCCTCTGTCGGCGGAAACTCGGAGGAGTGAGGAGCGGCGCGCTGCCGCCCCTCAACGCAAGGAATGCAGGTAGGGGCAGGCCCCGGAGGGAGGGGAGGGAGAGACCGGGGGAGACCAGAGACCAGGACACGAGAGGCCATGCCTCGGAGACGAGGCAGGGAGGGGTGACCAAGACGGTGGTGCCAGAGAAGAGTCTCATGGGACAGGAGGCGACACGAGCAGGGGGCAGACTCAGGACCAGACCGAGACGCTGCAGCAAACACCTGACCCGACGCAGCTACCTGACCAGGCACAGCAACCGGAGGAGACTCGGTAGTCAGGGTGTACAGGCTCGACCCCGGCCGACGGGTAAACGTGGCCAAGTGTCGGCCCGTGTCCGCACACGTGCAGTGGGTCACCCGCTGACGCGCAGGGGTGAACTGGTCAACTCCCCCATCCTGTAGGTCAGCACCCGCCACCAAGTTCGTAGAGAACGAGGGGAGGTAAAGGCCCAATAGGGAGCCAGACGGGACCGCTGTACACGGTAGAACAGTGGAGTGGTTTTTTTTTTTTTCTTTTTTTTTTTAATGCAAAATACACTAAAAGCGTATAATACGTCGGCAGTCGTAACTGTAGCTGATGGGTCTAGGGGGTGAGCACCCTCCGTACCCATCCTGATCCTCTAAGGGGGACGGAAGGCTGCCCTCGGGTTCGACCAAATGGCCATGAACCCCTTGGACCACGTGGCTGGCTTCACTGTGCTGTCAAAGATGTGGTTCAAGACCCAGCACTCGTCATCATCCAAACCAGGACGAGTGGCGCTGAGCCTCTTAGTTGCCGCCTTAGCACGCTTGTAAATTCTGACATGCAGTTGGAAAGACGCCGTGATCCTCCGCAGTGCTCTCCGCGCGCGAAATTTGCTGCGCTCGAAAACCGCGTCACACCTTTCCACCCAGATCCGGTGCAACGCAATCGCTGTAATTGTAGCCTCGGGGAAACCCGAAGCTGTCCCCTCCTTCTTGAAAACCAAGTCCCCCAGTGACTCAATCTTCCGATGCGGATTCATCAAGTGGAGCGCCTTCAAAAGTTCCCGAACCACCGGCTGGGTTCCTGGGCAGAGAAACAGGCCATGCTCCAGCGTCTCCCTTTCTCCCCAATGTGGGCATGCAACGCCGGTGCCCAGAAAGTGTAGCCGCTCCCCCACTTGCAGGTTCCGGCTGTGGATCCAGAGCATCACATCCCGCGCTCGGTTCGGGAGGATTGTCGAGTCCCTTACGTCGATCACTCGCTTCCAGTCAATCTGACGGCCGAGGGACTCTTCCCAGGTGGATTGCTGCTTCGGCTTTCCGCCACCCCGTTTGAAACCCTCTTTCAGCTGCCTCAGCTGCGCCGGACGATCCCCCTCCCAAATGGGTGAGCACAGTAGCCTTGTCTTGGGAGCGCCCGCAGGGCCGAGGAAACGCCCCTCCCTGACCACAGCGGGCAGCACCTCGTGCGGCCGAAAGCTGCGCAGCTTCTCCTCTGCATCCCCCAGTACCCCCCGAACACAGCTGATAGCTCGGCAGACTAGGGTTTCACCTTCCACGCACTCAATCCTCCAGACCCCGAAGCTCATCCCCGCATTCAGCACGAACTTAGAGATAGCAAGCACTGAGCGCGCCGTGACTGGCGCCAGAAGCAACTGCTTCCACTCGTCCGGGGCAGCATCATAGATCCGCTTTGCCAACTTAGCTCCTGCTGAGCCCCCAAACTCCCGCTCAAGCTCCTGGGTGTCCTTAAGCACTCTCGAGCCGTCCTCAGCGACTTTGATGAAATCCCGCATTACCGACCGCTTCAGCCCCTTAGCCGCTTTTTGCCGTCCTGCAGGCGTCTTCCCGTTGAGAAGCAGCCCTCGATTGAACAGCAGCAGCTCATTTTCCACATCCCACACCGACGACACCTTGATGCACGAAGGAAAGCTGGACTCCAGGAACAGCTCACAAGTTCACTTCCAGCGCATACACCGTCCTTCCCACTGCTTCATTAAACCCGTGTGAGCCCAGAAAACCTGAAGGTCCGGGACATCCAGCGCCGCCAACGCGAGATCAGCACGCAGACCCAGCGGTTGTGACGCCAGCAACGCTATCCTCCTGGCCGCCAAACCCCCCAGCTCAGCACACGGGTCCCGGACGCCAAGGCCACCCTCCCCTCTCGCCTTGAACAGCAGCTCCTGGCTCCAGAGCGCGAAATGCTTCACCGCTGTCGAGTGATTTCCGGTAACGAAATTGTGAAGCAGCTTCACCAGCTTCGCCCAGATCTTAGCTGGAGGTGGGTAAACCTGCGCCTGGAAGGCGAGTATCGGGTTAATGTACCCGTTGACCACCGAGACCCTTCCTGACGTGGTCAGATAGTGGATATGCCATTTCACCAGCTCCGACGACGCTCTCACCAAGGTGATTTCCCAGGTCACCGAAGCGTCCCCCGATGGTGAGACCCACACTCCCAGCACCCTCTCCGCTTCATTCGACGACACCCACTTGAAAACTGATTTCTTGTCCGGTTTCTTGCGCAGGTTCCTCCCCAGGGGCATAAGCGCGGACTTGTTGTTGTTCACCCGGAGCCCCGACTTATCCCCAAACTCGCTCAGCAGCTTCACCGCCCGGCCAATCTGCCTCTTCCCCTTGAGCACCAGCGTGGTGTCGTCCGCATAACCCACATACGCCAGACGGTCGCCATAAGGGTTACTAATGCCAAGCTTCCTTCTTCTTGCTTCCTGGCAGAGAGTCTCCACCGCGCAGAGGAACAGATACGGCGCCAGAGGGCATCCCTGCCGTACCCCCTTGTTGACTGCTACCGGCTCTCCCAGCCACCCGTTTAGCAACAACCTCGTCGTCGACCCCGCGTGGAGACCTTCACACCACTGCACGAAACTCCGTGGAAAGCCCATCCTCTCCATTGTGCCGAAGAGGTAAACGCGAGAGACCGAGTCAAAAGCCTTCTTGAAATCCACCAGAAGCAAGTACCAGTCCTCATCCTTGCACTTCGCTGCTTCGACGATGTCCGCGATTAACGAGACTCCATCAGCCAGCCTTCTTCCTGGTAAGAACCCGTAAGGTTCCTCTGAAATGACCTTATGCAGCACCTTCTGCATTCTGTTTGCCAGCACCCGCGCCACTAACTTGTATGTGCTGCTGAGCAGCGTGATCGGCCGGTAGTTTTGCACCTGGTCTTTCGCGCCTTTCTTATGCAGCAGGACAGTGACAGCCTCAAGAGCAGCAGGGGGAAGGACGGCCGAGTCCTCAAACTGCTTCACGAAACCAAGCACATCCTCCCCTAGTGAGTCCCAGTGCTGGCTGAAAAACTCCTTCGGGATCCCGTCAGCACCCGGGGACTTGCCCTTCGCCATGCCGTCAAGAGCCTCCTTTACCTCTGCTTCAGACCAATCCGCCAGCAACAGCTGAGATTGCACCTCTCCCAACTTTTTATCAGGATCAACCGGCCAGAACGTGCTATCCGCAGTCGGGGCGGGTTCGGAGAACAGCTCCGCGTAAAATTCCGATGCAGCTTCCAGTATACCGCTCGAGTCCTTCCGCACCGTTCCCTTCCATTGCAGCGATGTAATCCTTGTCCTCTCCTTCCTTGCTTTGACTTTAGCAGACATGAGCTTGCCAGGCATCTCCCCCTCCCGCAGCTCTTTGACCCCAGCCATGAGCGACATCCTCTCCTGCTCCGAGGCGAGGTAAGCCGCCAGTTGAGACTCCTTGACCCTCAGCTCCTCCTTCCGGTTGAGACAGTGGGGAATTCTCATCACCTCCTGTTGCAAGACTGCCACCGCGTTGTCTAGGTGACTCAGGGTAGCCTTGACCCGCTTCCGTTCCTCGGTAGAGTACTTCCGCAGTGCCATATTCATTTTCCTCATGAGATCAGAAAAGTCTCCCGACCCCGCTTTCCCGTGCTCCTCCCGAACAGCAGCGACCGCCTTTGCCGCACCCGGCCTTCCAATCTCTGCTGGCTTGCACCTCCATATACCCGGACCCATGCAGAGCTGCAGGCTGATCTTGAAGGTCACCTTCACGACGAACCAGTGGTCCGAGAGACCCTTCAGCGGCCGACAGTGCGACGCATCCGAGAGCAACGGCACCAGTGACGCCGAGACCAGGGCCCGGTCGATACGCGAGCTTGTCTTGGCCGACCTGGACAGAAAGGTGAACTCCTTCAGCATCGGATTCATCCAGCGAAAAGCATCGGTGAGGAAGTACGCTGAGCAGATCCGCATCACGCTGCCGTTTTCCCCCGACGAACCCGCTCCAGACGACCTATCCAGTAGCGGGTCCTCCACCATGTTCAGATCCCCAATCACAATAAAGTTCCTCTTCCCCACAGAATGCGCCATAAAAGGAGCAAGCACCCCGTCGTAAAACGGACGACGCCTGCAGGCCTTCGCCGGGAAATACGCGGCCAGGATCGTACAGCTGAAAGAGTCCCACTGGACATCAGCCTGAAGTAACCGGCCCGAGCTGTGAGCGACAATGTTAGTGAAAACCAGTGACTTATTGAAACTTAAGATAGCAACCCCCCCTGCCTTCCCCGCAGGACCGATCGCGTGACAGTGGGGGACTTTGAGCCGCTTCCAGAAATCATGGTCTTCGTCAATCCGTGTGTCAGCTAAGACAAAAATATCTGGTGGTTTCTTTAACCATGCCTTCAGATGCTTCTGCTTCCCCCTGCTCCCGAGCCCGTTGACGTTGAGCTCGCGTATTGACAGGTAAGAGGCTTTATTCATTGGGAAACCGCCGAGAAGCCCCAAGCATCCACGGGCTGAGCAAGACACAGACAACAGTTTTATAAAAGACAGATACAGACACAGGTGGTACTAACATGCAGTTCCCTTCTCTCCTTCCACCTTCTACAACCCATAGTCCTTCTTCAGGTGCTTGAGGTTGATCTTCCCCTTCAACATCCGGAGCGATTCTCCCCCTTTCGGGGCTCCATGGCGGTGCCGCTGGGACAGCGCGTGATGCGCAGCCTGCTCAAACGATGAACCATGAGCCTTCTCGCAGCTGTCCTGGAGGCAAACCCACTCCTCCCGATTGCCGCTGGTGGAAATCAGCACCAGGGACGGGTCCTTGAGGATAACCTTAGTCGTATCTGATGCAGAGGTCGCAGCAGCTGCGCAGCAACGATGTGAGAACTCTGGAAAGAAGGTGAGCGGAAAGCGACAGCAAAGCAAGTAGTAAACCGTCAGCGACAGCACGAACAGCACAGCTACCATTCAGCTCATGGACCCTCCCAATGGTGAGGTGCCATTTGGTGATGTTGTTCTGACGCTCGACGACAAAATCGTTGTGGTTGTGAATCGAGTGATGACCTCCGCATAAGCTGCACGTCAAAGCCGGGTAATATATCAGCAGAGTCTCGTCGTTGTTAAGCGAGTTCTCGATGTAATGCTTCCACCGGTACAAATCACCCTCATGCGCGATCACCAGCCCCTTAACCCGATCCGTATCCAGGCCAGTTACGGAGTTAACCGCGCGATGGAAACAGAGGCCTTCCTTAAACACCGACTTCTTCTTCTTCTTGAGCGGAGCCATGAGCATCCCTTTCAGCATTGCAGGTGAAATCTCAGCAGGGACCGCTTTGAAATACAACTCAATGACTGCCGGGTTCGACGCCTTCTGCCTGGCAAACGCAGGATCCACCGGGTATTGCCAATCAAAGGTAACGTAAACACCCGACTTGCACTTATGCTCAACCTGGTTACGCCACACAAAATTAGCATCAGATGCTTTGTCAAAAGTAACCTGCATGCGACCGTAAAGCTTCTTGTACAGATAAACCGACACCAGCTCCTGATACGTCGTGGTGACTTGGGCCTCATCAGACGGCTCATCTTTCCAGATCCCTAGCAGCCCCTTGATCGTTGCCTGCGTGCGAGAAACTTCCGGCAGGAACTCTTAAGGGACCAGAAGAGTGATCGGTAACGGGAACGCGACGCGATCTCGCCCTTGGACGCTTCCTCGACCTCCTCATCGGAATCATAGGCGATAAGGCCGTCATCTTCATCATTCAGCAGGTGAGAAACCCCTGATGGCCCCGCGCCATCATCAGCATTGTCGTGCGAATCCTCATCATCTTCACCATGAGATACATCCTCTCCTTCAGGAGCAGCGTCAGAAACAACGTCCTTAAAAACGACTTTCTCCTTACCCTTCTTGCCATCATTCGCAGCTTCCTCAATACGGATGGCTGCAAGCTTCGCCGAGAGAGTCAGAGCCTCAGATTCATCAGGCTGGAAGGGACCCTTAGCCGTCTTCATGGCAGTAGCGGACTTGAGCGGAAGTCTTGACATAGACTTCGGCTTGGCTGGAGTAGTCGCTGGCGGAACAATGGAGGTGTCAGAAGCCAGCGGTACCCCGGAACCAATATTAGCAGCAGCAGCCGTAGCAGAAGCAGCAGCCGCGGTGACAGCAGCAGCAGCAGCCTTCTTAACACGAGGAGCCATCGTGCGATGATGATAGAAAAGCCACCAGAGCCAGTGTTGTACTGGAGAAATGCAAATGCTGAGCACGAAATGAACATCCTTTGTAGGAGAAACAATGACTGATTCCTGCTGCCTGTTACGAGCCTTGATAGTAGACTGAAACCTTGGAAATGCCATCTTGGAAACACCTCACATGATAATCCCGGAACCATGACTTCTAACCGTCCTCAGGGGAGAGGGACGAAAGTTCGCTGTTTGAACATTTAAAAAATATCCACAGGTACCCTGAAAGAGGACGCTTCCAATGGTTATATTTCTAGCGGGAATGTCATACAATAGGTGATACATTGGCGAGTTCCAGGGCCTCTGTAAAATCCATGGCTGCCGTGAGGCGGAGAGCAGGAGCATCCAGAGGAGTCTGCCAGGAGGCGGAAGCACCCGAGTCAAGGGTAAAAGTGTGCGACACCTGAGCAGACGTGGTACCTGAGAGAGCAGACTCACCAGCACCTGGAGCAGCAGACTCACTAGCACCTGGAGCAGCAGACTCGCTAGCACCTGGAGCAGCAGACTCAGTGGCACCTAGAGCAGCAGCTGCACCGCCCGGGTCGGGCGGAACACTCAGGTAACAGTCACCGTCAGTGAGGATAGCATCATAGTCAAGAGCATAGACATCTACCCTCTGCCGTAGCAGCTCCACCCACTACGGCCACCCCGACAACCCCAACGAGCGTACCACCCACAAAGCTGTTGGGGCGTGAGGGACTCACGCGGACGGCGCTGGAGCTGCATCTGGCCACGCCAGGAGCAGCAATAGCAGTAGAAAGCGCAGTAGCAGTAGGAGCAGCACGAGAGGCAGTAGCAGCAGGAACAGCAGTAGCAGCACTAGCAGCAGTAGGAGTAGAAAGAGCAGTAGCAGCAGGAGCAGCAGTAGCAGCAGGACGGGCAGGACAGTGCTCACCAGTGGCAAGAAAGGCAGTCGTACGACGGCGGCAACGGCAAGGCCGGCACCACTGCAGGGCGAGGGCTCCGCGGCAGCTGAAGGGGGGGGGGGGGGGGGCAGCTGCTCCAGGGGCGGCTGCTCCAGGGGCCAGGGGCGGCTGCTGCAGGGGCGGCTGCTCCAGGGGCCAGGGGCGGCTGCTGCAGGGGCGGCTGCCCCAGGGGCCAGAAGCGGCTGCTGCAGGGGCGGCTGCTACAGTGGCTAGGGGCGGCTGCTGCAGGTGCGGCTGCTCCAGGGGCCAGAAGCGGCTGCTGCAGGGGCAGCTGCTCCAGGGGCCAGGGGCGGCTGCTGCAGAGGCGGCTGCTCCAGGGGCCAGGGGCGGCTGCTGCAGGGGCGGCTGCAGCAGCGGCGGCGGCAAACAGCAGCGGCGGCAGCGGAAGCGACGGCAGCTGCTGCTGGGGCGGCGGCGATGGGGCGGCAGAGCGGCTATGGAGGGCCGCGAATGGGGCCGCGAATGGGCCGTGATGGGCGGTGAAGGGGCCGCGAAGGGCCGCGAAGGGGCCGCGAAGGGCCGTAGCGGGGCCGCAAAGGGCGGCGAAGGGGCCGCGAAGGGCCTCGAAGGGGCCGCGAAGGGCCGTGAGAGAGGGCCGCGAATGGCCTAAAGAGGGACCGCGAATGGCCTAAAGAGGGACCGCGAGGGGCCGTGAAGAGGCAGGCCACTAGTTGGCCGCGAAATCTTCGAGGCAGGGCGCACAGCGCGCTTCGGGTAGGTAAAAAAAAAAAATTCAAGAAGGTGGGCCTTACTAGGAAGTTTCCTGCTCTATATAATATGGAGAATGATGTGTCAGAATCTAGCAGCAGGAATGGATGAACTAGCAGCATGCAGGAGTACAAGTAGTTAACCCTAATTGGGCTGTACCCCATATGGGCTACCCCACTACAGCCTAGACAATATGCAGCATATATGTTTGACACACCCCCATAGGCAAAGTGGGGGAGAACAAGGGGTCAAACGACCAGTCAAGAGAAGCAAAGCAAGCTCAGGGTGGATCTCAACGTCACCACACATTCTGAGCACAAGCAAAGGGCCATAAGGCCAGTTCACATGCAGAGATATATATGCAACAATAACAGTACAGTGATGACTACCTAGCAAGAGCAGGCATGCATGTATATATATAGATCACAGTACAAGCAGAGACTACAGCAAGTGTGGAAACGTAGGCACAAGGCCTAACAGGGTACAAAAGCGCTGATGATCACCAAACGGAAGTGCCTTGGTGAATATATCAGCAGTGTTGGCCCGAGTGGCCACGTGACGAAGACGAAGCTGGCCTCGCTGCTGCAACTCTCGAGCCAGGAAGTAACGCAGAGCAATGTGCTTCGTTCTGTGCTCCAGTCTGTGCTCCTCACACAAGGCAATGGCGGCCTTGTTGTCGACGTACAGCATTGGAGGAGAACGAGGCTGCTCTCCCAAGTCAGTCAGCAGGTAGGTGAGCCAGCGTAACTCCTGTGCAGCCATGGCTGTGGCGTAGATCTCAGCCTCACAACTGGAGCTGAGAACTGAAGACAAGCGTGTAGAACGCCACGAAACTGAACCAGAGCCAAGGCTGAAGGTGTAACCCTGTGACGACCGCTGAGTAGCCTGGTCATCAACCCAAGAAGCGTCTGAGTGCCCAGTGAGGACAACTGGGCTCGTCCCTCCAAGCACTAGCCCCATGCCTGATGTGCTGCACAAGTAGCGCAGTACCCTCTTAGCAGCAGCCATGTGCTCAGGTCGGTGCCGACCAGGAGCCACGTAGCG